AAGGCTGAGGCGGAAGGATCGCCGGAGCCCAGCAGGTCGAGGCTACGGTGGCCAGGAGTGCCCACTGTACCCCAGTCTGGGTGACAGAGTGAGACTCCAACTCAAAAAAAAAAAAAGAGAGATAACCATGGCTTTTTTTTTTTTGAGTTAAGGTCTCTGTTGCCCAGGTTGGAGTGCAATGGCATGATCAGGGCTCGACCTCTGGGCTCAGAGATCCTTCTGCCTCAGCCTCCAAAGTAGCTGGGACTACAGGTATGTGCCACCACACCTGGTTGACTTTTTAAAAAAAAATTTTCTGTAGAGATGAAGTCTTGCTCTGTTGTCCAGGGCTGGTCTTCAACTTCTGTGTGCAAGCAGTCTTCCAGCTTCAGCCTCTTAATGTGCTGGGATTACAGGTGTCAGCCCTCATGCTTTGGGCATGGCTTTTTAAAATGTGAAACACACACACACACACAGACACACACACCACTCAGTGAATACTGACCATATACAAGTATTTTTATATTTGTACACTCTTTTGGTTGATAAAGGCCTACTATGTTTGAGACACTTTGATAGGTGCTGTGAGACAAACCAAAAAGTATAAAGGCGGGCTTTGATCTCAAGTGTCTTACATCATGGGGGCGGTCAGCACATGTGCAGGAAAAGTTAGCAGGCAAATTAACAGCATGGGATTTTTAATTCATAGGTGCTAATTAGGTGGTGGTGTGGGATTGACAGGAATGCTAACAAAGCTTGGAAGCAGGAGGACTGACTTCCAACCAAAGCTACAGAGAGAAGGGGCCTTTAGGGAACCAGGAAGGAAAACTAGATCTGAATATGAAGAGAGGAGCCAGGTGTGACCCAGATGGGGCAAGGCTCAGTGTGTTGGGGACCAGAAGTGGAGGAGGGATTGCTACTGGGGGACCAGGGAGGTCAAGTGTTGATGACAGTAGCTAAAATTAATTGACTGCCTACTATGTGCTGAGCTTCTCTCAGTGCTTCACATATGTAATTGCTTGTAATTTCCTTACCAGCCTTGGGAGGGAGGGTTGTCAACATTTCTCAGACTTGGAAACAGGCTCAGGCAAGTCAAGTACCCTCTCATGGGCACAGTTACTAATAGTGAATTTCGAGCTGTTATCAGAACCCACTTGTGTCAGATTCCAAAATCATGTTTCTAATGACCATGGGCTGAACTGAACCTCTCCCAGATTCCTATGTTGAAGCCCTAATCCCCAGTTCCTCAGAAAGTGGCTGTATTTGGAGATTGGGGATTTAAAGTGTGATTAAATTAAACTGAGGCCATTAGGGTGGGTCCTAATCCAATCTGACCGGTGTTCTTATAAGAAGAAGAAATTCCAACTGACAGAGTCACCAGGGATGCTTGGGCACAGAGGAAGACCCTGTGAGGACACAAAGAGAAGATGGCCACGTGCACGTGCAAGCCAAGGAGAGAGGCCTTGGGAGAAGCCAGCCCTGGCAACAACCTTGATCTTGGACTTCTAACCTTCAGAGCAATACACTTCTATTGTTTAAGCTTCCCAATCTGTGGTATCTTGTCAGGGTAGCCCTAGCAAGCTAATACCCTAAACCATGATGTGTCTCTGCCTCTCAGAAGGGCCTCGAATCCCAAGCTTTGGAATGTGGAATTTCCTTTGCAGATTGTAAGTAACTATCGAAAGTTTCTGAGATGGAGAGAACTACAAAGGTCATTGTAAAGATTTCCCTGGGATTGTTCGTGTAGTATTCATTCATTTATTCATTTCAACAGATAATTGTGGAGCACCTATTTTGTGACTTCTGTGATTGCAAGGGCCATATTTGTCTAGTTCTCCCCCACTACCACTTGTTCCCAGCACTAAGCACGGCATCTGCTACATAGTAGATGGTCAAGAAGTAGTTGTCAAATGAAAGAAAGGATATGAGGTTGGTTTGGGGGATAGAAAAAATGACAAGACAACACAGAGCTTGCCTTCAAGGAGACGACAGTCAGGTGAAGTTGGCAGTCAGTGTGTAATCGGTTCAGGTGGGACGGAGATTATTAAGCTGTGCCATCTAACAGGACTTTTGCAATGAAGAAAACATCCTATATGTTTTCTGTGTAATGTGGCATGTGTGGCTGCTGAACATGAGAAA